TTCAGAAGTGTTAGCTGCACCCACTAGCTGGTAGCTTCCCTAGACAGGGTGATCTCCGAAGTAACACATTTAAGAGAAATGAGGGCTTCTGTGCTCATTCAATCCTCCAGATGCAGGAAAGTTTGCAAATAAGTCCACTGGCACTGACAAGGCAGCTCCCAAACAAAGCAGGCCTCCCATGCTGGGTAACCAGAAGTGACTCAAAGCTCAGAAATAAAGGGCATCAATCCAAAACGTGAAAGAGTCCAAAAGTACCTTTAATTGTTCACAATTCAATCAAACAAATATAATAGGGGGAGTAGTGCAAACTGTGGTCAAAACAGGTGCAAAACACATGCAGTTGGAAAAGTAGTGCAAGCTCAGGTGAAAAGAGGTGCACATGTTAAAAGACAGATTTGCATTAAGCAAAATGATCTAAGAGGTTAAAACTGTCACAATTGCTTTGATAAATTCCCCCCAATGTGTTTCAGGGGAAGCGACCCCTACCCTCCCCCCACCACCACCACCTTCCTTTATCAGGGCTTAGTATGGGATAAGGATTTGATTTGACTCAGAAGATACCATAGCCTTTTGGATCTCTATATGATTTGATGAAAGAAAAACTCCTTTATGGCTGGAATTGCAATTAGCTGCAGCAGCAGGGTGATGGCACCACTAGCTCTTACTTTGGGCTTAACGTCAGCGCTCTCATGTGCTTGGTACATTAGTTACTCAACTTACTCTGTCCATGCACAGGCTTCACTGATAGCCAGAACGTCCCTAAACAACCAGCATAACAGGAGCTCGATTAATCTCTTTGCTGCACAGTTGGATTTTTTCTCCTATAGCTGATCCTTCCTCTGTCATCCAAGTGTGTCTCACTGCCAATTAGCAGTTCTGACTTTTCTCTTTATTGAGTAGGCACATGCCAATCTCCCTAGGAGATCACGATATGGCCAGCCTGTAACTATCCCTGCAGCTTCTAGTGTTATACTGAGGCCATCCCAAGCTCCACAGCTAATCTCACTGTGATGGATTCTTGCCAAATGAGGGAAAAAACATGGAAATTGTGCAAATAGTTCTTGTCACATCTTTGGCCATCAAAGTATCACCCCATGCATGGAACCAGCCACAATATAGGATCTGACCAAGGGCATAACTAAAGCCATAGCAGCCAAAGTGACTGCTATGGGACCGAGAGGCAAGGATTGGACTTGGTCCATGCCTAAATAAAAAATGTAAAAATAACATATATTCATCAGTCTGTTCCTCTCAGTGTAAAGTAGCTCTGATTTCTACCTCATGTTTTGAGAAGCACTTACTTTGGGCTGACTGCAAAGCAGAAGCTCCTCTTCTTTGGTACACAGTGCAGACAAAACACAATCGGCACTTATGAGGAGGAAGCCAAGTCCTTCAATACCCCTGCCTGCACCTGAGGACAATAAAGTGACCCATTCATAAAACATGGCTTTGTTTAGTTACAATGGCCAAATGTATAAATAGTAACTGTACGGGTGCATTGTAGGTCACCTACCTCTGACTACCAGCAGTAGTGTAAGAAGGGGTAAATAATACGCCATCTGTCTCTGGCCACCAATGTTTCTATCAGGATGGATTATAAATCACCTGCTGTGGATGAGGACCCCATCAAAATGTTGTCATTTCTAGTTATGCCCCTGAATCACATAATGAAGAAGATACTGTATGTTGTCCGCACAGCATTTTGCTTCAGAATATAATTTTTATTCGTATTCCTTTAGCATGACATATGGATACAACGTTTCAGAATCTCACCGGACCCTTTCGTCAGGCAAAGTGTAACTAATCAAAAGTGATGTCAAACACGACATATCTTCTAGATTGCATACTGTGGTGCCATCATCCTGTTGTCCTGGCACCCATTGGATTCTAGGGTACCTCAGTACGGCGTGCGAAGGGAATATTACTGGATCACATAATGGTCTAGCTGCTTCTGTCCCACATTTAGTTAGTACTCCAACACAAAATAACGTACCCTGCTTTTACTTTTTTTGTACTTCTGTAAAGCTCTGCAGAAAGCTGGCACTAGGAATTCAGAAAATACTTACTGCTTAATCCCCCCCTTCTAATCTCTTCTATGACAGCGAGCAACCATAATAGCAATATTATCTGGGATCAGCATGAACAGCTATTTTTAGAAAGGCTAATTTTATTTTAATAACGTTAGCACATGGACGGGGATACAATCCTAAAAGTAGGATATTAAAAAACAACAGTCGGCCTTCACTGTCATGCTGTTTGTTATGTGCTTCGGAAAAAGTAAAGCACATTGGATATTTGTATTTGTAATCTTGTCACTTATGTAAGCATGTTAAAGTAAACAACTGGTGTGTTAGCGAGTGTCAGCAAGTGTCTGCACGCTCCCTCTTAGCTGCAAATTCAATCTTGCTGCACCCCAGGAACCATCCAAATCCAATACAAAAGCACATCTTGACTTTTTGTAAAGCTGAATAGTGCTGCATCAGGGAAAAGCACTTGCATTGTATTGTGTCATGCAGGGGACGCATGTCTTAACCACCAACATTGACGTTTAAAGTAAGCTGAGTTGAGTTTGAGAGGAAAAAAACAAGGTGGAATTTCCAGCCAATAAAGGATACATCTAGGTACCTGCTGTGCACACTTTCACTCATGAAAAGATGATACTTACTAGGGAAGCACCAATACCGATACTAGTATCAGTATTGGTGCCGATAATGAGTATTTTGGCTCGTACTCGCCCAAATGCTCCCGATACTTATCCCGATACCGGAAATTCTGGTATCAGAAAGCCGAGCAGCGAGTCATTACATGCAGCCAGGATTCCTGATTGGCCAGGAAGCCGGCTCCATGCTTTCTTGTCACCAGAGAGCATGGAGCTGGCTTCCCTGCCAATCATGAAGTCGGGGGGCGAGTCATTACCCATTCCCCCGGCTTCCTGATTAGCCAGAAAGATGGATCCATGCTTCCTCGTCACCTGGGAGCATGGAGTCGGCTTTCCGGCTGATCAGGAAGCTGGGTGGTGAGTCATTACACTCTGCCCGGCTTCCTTATTGGGACTTCGGTATTGATATCTGGTTTCGGCGAGTACCCAAAAAAAATCGGTACTTATACTCGATACCGAAAAAATGATATCGGTGCATCCCTAATACTTACGATGGAAACATACAATTAAATTAGAAGAGATACATCAAGATCAGTGTGCCATACCAAGGAACATTCCATAGCCGGAGCAGGTGCAAAGAGAGAGGGGAGTGCTGGTCGCTAGACATGTGCAATTAGTTTAGTTCCGAATCGAAATTTCGGATGTATCTGAATTCCGAATAACAGATATAACAAATGCAAACGAATCCGAATTTCCGATTCCGAAATTCGTTAGCGGTAGTCTGTGCAAAATTTCGTTTGTTGGACGAAATTTCGTTGCAGCAAAGTGACATTTGAGCAAAGTGACGAACGAACGAAACAAAATTGAAATGAAATTTCGTACAGATTTCCGCTAACGATTGTCGTCCGAATCCTAATTCCAAAACGAATTGACTTTCGGACCCGAATTCCGAAAAACGAAATAACGCAAAATCTCGATCAAAACAAAACAAATTTTTTGCTGGTGCACATGTCTACTGGCCACCACGGGAGCGAGGATCAGCTTTAATTGAGTCCCCTGGACAAAACGAGCGCTTAACCCTTGCAGTGCAGGGGGGTAGCCCTTAGTTTTGTATTTGCCCAGAGTTCTCCTTTGCATGGAAGTTTTTGTGCCTGGAGTTCAGCTCTAACGGTGGACCACCCCACCGTTATGCAACCTGTGCTCTGGGATCCCTCAACTCTTCTGCCAGCCCCAGCACTAGACATGTAAGCTGCAGAAATTTGGTTTGGTTATTTCACTATTTCGGGATTTGGATCTGAAATTCAATTGGGTTTGGGTTTCGGATTCGGTGGAAATCTGAATTTTCGTTAGTTTCGGATGAGTTTACGAATATTCGTTGCGAATACCACAGAAAACCATATACAGATATTAATACTAAAGCTGAATCTTCTAGACCCGAATAGCATTCGGGATCCAAATTTCTGAATTGCATTGGGGAGCTCCTGAATGCCATTCGGGTCTGGGAGCCATATACATTTATTACTAAAGCTAGACATGTGCTAGACATTCGGGTCAATGGCTCCCAGACCCGAATGGCATTCGGGAGCTCCCCAATGCAATTCGGAAATTCGGATCCCGAATGCCATTCGGGTTTAGGAGCCTCAGCTTTAGTATTATATGTATATAGTGTATATGACTCCCATGCTGCTGTAACAGAAATTCGTGTTCAGACCCATTCGGATGCATTAAACCAAAAAACACATCTGATTGACCAGAAAAGTGACAAGTCCAATTCAGTTTTGTTTTTGAATGAAATTCAAACGGGATTCAAAATTCGGACTTAGCCGCATTCGGATGCATTGAGATTCGGAAATCCGGAAGTGTCCGAATGTTCGAATTTTGGAAAATTCGTCCGAATTTTGATCCGAAACAAAACGAATTGTGCATGTCTACCCTGTACCCCATGACTTTGCTCCAGCCGGATAATGAAAGGCATTTGTTGGAGAACGTGTATTCGGAGGACCCCTCAAGCACAGAGGTGTGAACAAGCGTTTCTTGCCATGTGGTCATATTTTATTTAGTAAACAGCCCACAAAGACCTGACTTCATGTAGTCTGTGAAGAGTCAGGAAGTTCGGTGGTGTGCACTCAGAAGTTTAAACTTGGCAGTCCTCCGAAGGCTTCTCTTTAACAAGCTCCCCCTGAGCCAGAGAAGGCTGGCACATAATGCAGAACAGGTGTGCAAACTGCTGCTCACCCATGTCCCGGGGAAAGCGAGAGGAAACCCCATCCGCAGGGGGTCTCAGCTATCAGAGTAACTCAGTACAGAGTCCTCAGGGTCCCCTTTCTCCAGGGTGCTAATGGAAAGCTGGATTGTGCAGCCAGAATTTGTTAGCATTGCTCGTGCAGGGAGGGGGGTAGGAGAGGGGGATCGGGAAGTAAAAGCTGGGGTTTGCCGCACGGTGTCCAGCACAGAGATCGCCGAGGCACTGCAGCAGCTCGTCTGACGCTACGCCGCTTGCTATCAGCTATGGAGATTAGGCAGGACTGTAACTCATTACGCATAGACTTGATGCTGATCGTCCAGTCACAGGAAAAGCAGGTGGCAGAGGACAAGCAGGAGGACGCCACTCCAGAGACTGCAGGTACAAAACAAGTATGGTGTGCATGCGTGTGTGTGTGTGTGCATGTGTGTGTAAAAGGCACTAACGTGACCTTTAAGTGTCACTCCACCTTTGTGCAAGCTTTGACATTGTAAGGCAGAGCAGGACATCAGTCATTTGTAAGCAATCTCATTCTCATAAAGGCTTTTGATGCATACAATTTATCAAAAGTGCAGCAGTCAGAATCTGGAGCGGTTGCCCAACCAATCAGCGTCTATCTTTTATTTTAAAAGCTTAACTGAGCACACCAAAGAAATACGCAGATTGGTTGCCATGGGCAACTGCTCCAGATTCTCTCTGCTTCAGCTCTGATAAATTCCCAGTGGGAATGTTTCAGAAACAAATAAAGGCCTAATACGAGAGGATACACATTTATTCACAACATTGAATGAGGGGAACTTATCAAAACTGGAGCAGACAAAATCTAAAGCAGTTGCCCATCAGCTTCTCTCTTTCATTTTCAAAACTTAAAGGGGTTCTAAACCCTCCGGTTTTTTTTGCCTATATCTACTGCTAGCAACCAGTAGATATAGGCAAGAAGTTAAAAACAAACAAAAAAACGCTTGAACTGGTTTTAAACTTACCTCGTTATCGCTGCTCAATCCCGCGCCGAGAATCAGGAAGTGATCGTACGGCCGCAAAGGATCTTGGGGCGGGCGCATGCGCAGTTCCGATTCTCGGCCGGGAGACGAGCAGAGAGGTAAGTCTATAGACGCGTGCCCCCGCCTGCAGACACCGCTGGGTCGGAGAGACAGAGCAGTCAGCGCTGGATCGGAGTGACGTCACACTGCTGGAGGGACACATGAAAACATGGGGAAAGAAGAGGAAGATCAGAATAAGAGACATCATTTGAGGTAAGTGCTAACATTTACATGGGGGGGGGAAATTTTTTTTGGCTTTAATGTCACTTTAACTGAACACACTGAAGAGATATGCTAATTGGTTGCCATGGGCAACTGCTCCAGGTTTGATACATTCCCCCCATTATTTTGTTTTTTCTGCTGTACAACATCACAGTTCCCAGAGAGTTGGGATTGTATTTTATTTTATTAGACTATGACCAATGTGTACTAACAAACAAGAAGCTGGATCATTCTCTCGCTCCGCCGACAGCTGCCGCTTGATTGGTTATTTTGGGTAAGCGCTTTGTTATTAAATAAAGGCTGCTGTGGGACATGTCATAACGCGACAGCTGCAGAACAGTAACTATGCCAACACCGGGCAGCACTGTGGTAGCCATCTTTGATGAGGGCAAATTTGAGATATAAAACAAAATGAATCATGAGAAACGGTATGAATACATGATTAGTTATTTACCATAAAGTATATATCTGATGATGTCAGATGAGCGACCATGTCACTAGTTATCCTGCCGCCGCTGATCGCGTTGGCGGTGCCATTATTTTTTAATGGTACCCCAATCACGCCAGGCAGATCACACGGTTTCCTGCCACAATTCCTCCTGTGCAATGTACATGTATCTTTTTTCAGCGATTGTCATGCAGATATAACCCCATTGAAATCAATCGGGCTGCGGGGAAACCGCTGTGTGCAACCGCACACGATCGCACGGTACCAGGACAAGCATCCCAGGATTGCCCAAGTCTGCACCAGCACTCATAGGTAACTCTGTACGGAAGTGCACACCCCTGCAGTGACCTGTGACCTGCACGCTTCTACACACTGCAAGCGTCCCAGGATCGCACAAGTCTGCACCAGCACTCATAGGTCACTCTGTACGGATGTGCACACCCGTGCAGTGTCCATTGACCTGCACGCTTCTACACACGTTCGTGCAGGTTCGGATGCACACACTTGGGCGCAGGCTGTCTGCTTTGAAGTGCATGCACCCAGGCCTGTGCGGATATGCAGCTACGTGTTGGCATGTAGCTGCGTGCTGGCATAGAAATGTACAGGGATGTAATTGCCTACAGCCATAGCCAATTACAGACTGCACCTGTCCCTCCCAGAAGCAGGTCTCTGCACGGGCGTGTGCGAGCTGTACGGAAGTGCACGCCAATTAGGGCCTTAAGATTATCGTACGATAATCGCGGGAAATCCCGCGATCGTACGATAATCGCGAGGTGTGTGGAAGGCGTGTGACTGTTTCTACTGTATGGTCGCACGACTTTTGTCTTACGAATATGTTTGAAAACCAGCCGAGAATCGTTTGTGGCATGATCGTAAGATAATTGCCGCACGGGCCGGTGTGCGCAAGCGCACACTGCCCGTTCAGCGTTGCGGTCATCGATTATCGCAAGTACGATCTGCCTGTCCAAGATAGGCAGATCGTACGTTTTTTTAATGACCTTACAACCATCGCAAGACAAAAGTCTTGCGATGGTTGTAAGGTGTGTGGCCAGCTCTTGCTCAAAGTGGACAAATGTTACAAAGTAACAACTAACTACAAAAAATTAAGTAACAAAAACATGACAAAAATGCAGCTGGTTTAGGTGAAAGAAGAACTCCGAGTACAAATGTTATTAACCCTTGCATTGGGACTACTCCTGCACTGCAAGGGTTAACTGCTCGTTTTTGCCTAGGGTAACAAAAAAAAAGTTATACTCACCTGATCCTCCGAGCTGTCAGAACTCCATTCAGCCTCTCTCCTGCTCCGTTCCAGTGATAGTATGTCCCTCGGCGTCCTCACGTTCAATACACTGCATTGGATGTGACGACTTGAGGAATTCTAGACCACTGCAGTAGAGGAGGAGAGGCGCACCAGGGACCGGTCTAAGAGCCAGCCAGCTTGGAGGTTCAGGTGAGTATAACGTATAAATGAGCAGTTAGCCCCACTGCAAGGGTTAATAACATTTCTGCCCGGAGTTCTTCTTTAAGGCCCAAGTCATGCCAAACTTTTCTCTTTAACTTGGATAGAAGGCTCAGCACCTCCCTCTGGTTTTTATTGCTGTGTGTGTCTCTGTTGGTTAGATTCTTCCTGTGTGCTCACCAGAATGGAAAGTGAGCTGAAACTTTCCCGCACATACATAGAACTCCATGAGGGCACTTATTTAATACAGCAGGAAAGGGGTAAACATCTGTTTGGTTTTGTTCTCAGTGTTCCCCAGACATGCTTCTTTCTTCCTGAGGGATTACCAAAAATTGAGCAGAAAGAGATTTCTATCATTGCACAGCCAACATGAAAAAAAAAAGGTTGGGTTAGAATTGGTTATTAGGCTCCGTTCACATCTTTGCAATGCGGGAGCGGGTGTGATGCTGCTTGTGATCCCGCATAGCACGCTGCAGTGTTAGGTGAGATTCGGAGCCATTATTTCTTACTGACACGCCAATGGACCTATACATCACACGTGTGTTGTGTCACACCACATCATGTGGTGACCTATTACCATATAATGTGGCGGAATGTGACAAAAATGCATACACTTATTTCGGTGCAATTTAGCTGCGTCAAGCAGCCTGTTTAAATGAGCCCTGCCACAGAGCTCCACCTGCAGCATCTCTGCCATGTCGCACTGCAGAGGTGTGAACAAGGGGTAAGGTAATGGGAGCAGTCCTGCTAGCTCCGCCCAATTGTTTTTTTTGGTTTTTTTATATTATTTTTTTGCTTTTTTTTAAATGTTACTATTTATTTACATTTTTTCAACCTCTTTTTTATTTATTTGGGACTATTTTCATTGATTTCCTATTCTCCTCGATACCACGGAGGTACCGAGCAGAATAGCTGAGCCGAATGCCGCTCAGCAGCATTCGGCTATTCACTCACTGCTGTTCGGCCCCCTATGTGAAACGGAGCGAACGGCAGCGAGGGAGCAGAGCATGTTCGGCTGACCAAAGTGCAGCCGAAGGCAGCCAATGCACGGCTGATTTCAGCCAATGTACGGCTGAAATCAGCCGTACTGAGCCGGAGTGAATAGCCGATCGTCGTTCAGCTCACTTCACCTCGGCAGCTTTGTGAATAACCCCCCAAGAGTACAATTAAAACCTCTTCTTTTTTTTTTGCATATATCTATTGATAGCAAGCAGTAGATATCAGAAAATACATAAAAAAAAGAAAGTTACCAAAAAGGTCATTACTTACCTCTGTCTCCGCCGCTCGCTCCCGTCCGAAGATTCTCAAGCGGCTGTGAAGGAAGATGGGGCGGGCACAAGCGCAGTAGAGATCATAGGTCTGGGTGAAAAGGAGAGACACGGGGTAGTCAATGCACGCAGCCCAGCAGCGTGCATGCACCCAGAGAACGTGGGACCGGAGCAGTCAGCGCTGGATCAGAGACCGGCACCAGCGCTGGAGGGACAGCTGAAAATGACTGGAAAGTAAAAGATGATCGTATCAAGAGGCAACATTTAAGGTCCCTACACCAGCATGGAGGGGAGAAAAACTGTTTGACTTTTAATGTCGCTTTAATTTAGTAATGCATTATGTATTTGGTACTTTCATTACCATTTGCTATTAACTATTTATGTTTTAAGGATTAAACATTTGAGGCACTTAAGGCATTACTACATGTCTCACACCCAGAATCAGCCCCTCCCTCTCTGAAGACCACCATCCCATGTATGTTTTTCTCATTCTTTTCATACTTAAATGTAGGCTGGTCATGTGACAAGTTGGGTCTTCTTCCTCTGTGCATTGTGATGTTTTGCTTAAAAAAAAGAGGTGCATGACCACCAAAATGTCCATTGCTGTGCATTGGCAGCCCATTCAAAATTAATCCTCTGCCATACCGCAACACATGTTAATGCAAAATACCGTATGCTAACACGTGTGTACCTCTTCTAATGCAGGAACCTTTTCTGCACATTTATTTAACTTACTGGGATTTACAAATAATAACAAAATGTATTTCTAAAACTGAACTCTGGGATAAGTAAATATTTTCGCAATACAAGCTGTGTGTATATTCTTATTTGAATCTTGGCATGTTTTTGTATTTCACATCTGTGCAGTACATGTATCTCTGTGCAGGAGCTTTCTGTAATAAAGACCAGTCACAGCTGCTCTCTCTTTGTGTCCAGGGTGACTGGCCTTGTCTCCACCCCCTTCTGTAGTTTTCAGCAGGCCGCCTGTAGTGTGTGGAGGCTGATGGATCCCTCCCACAGCTCTGCTCTCTGCACAGCACAGTGATGATGCCAATTGCTACAAAGTAACAACTGCGTTTGCAAAGGAATCTGGTGACCGCAAAGTGAATAGATATTCTCTGTGGCTATTGAGGAACATATTTAAATAAAAGTTTTTGTGTCTGGAGTCCTTAAAGTGACATTAAACGCTCAGATTTTTTACATAAAACAGTACTGTAATGTGTGCCTTACTGTAATCCATGGTTGTTTCCCTTCTCTTTGCTGCTCTTCCTTTTAAATCCTCATGTCTTCTCATGCTTGGGGAGAACTTCCCTTTGCAGCTCAGGGCCTCTTCCTGTAGTGCTGGCTCAGGTTACAAACCTATACACAGACACTGTGTATCCATTCCTGAGACAAGGCAGTCTGCTGCAAAACAGAAGTTCTGCAGAGCATGAGAACAGATGCAGATTTAAAAGGAAGAGCAGCAAAGAGAAGGGAAACTACCATGTATTACAGTAAGGCACACATTACAGTATTGTTTTATGTAAAAAAAAATCTGAGGGTTTAATGTCACTTTAAGCAAAACAAAATGCAAATGAAACCCTATATTAATGTTCTTGCTTTATACCACCACATTTAATTTCATATATATTTGAAACCGTGGACTTTGATTGCTCTACTTCAGTTTTACATGAATTATTATAATGAAGTCCTCTTCCCATCTGCAGAAAAGTGATAACGCAATTGAATTAATGAAAGAATTTTCTTTCCGGAAAGCGATTGAAGCGGTAATGAATAAATGGCTCCACTTGTTTTTACTAAATATCACTCTTACTAGAGTGCGGTGATGATTAACAAGGATATTATGTACAGTGCAAAGTGTCCAAGTCACAGGTCCCATTAATCCCTTTTTAGCTTCAGAACGCAATATTTTGGCAACATAGAAGTCATAAGACACCATTTATTTATGGATGCAAATGTGTCCTAAATGGAAGGTCATCATGCTCCGACTTACACGGTATATTTTATTATTCATGTCATCATTATCATAATCTTGATAAGTCCAGTGGACCTGTAAATAACTAACTGGTCAGTGGCGATACAACAGTGACAGTACAGTTGGACTTTTAATAGTAACTTCATCCTGCACTGTTATGACCGATTCTTCACCAAATGACTTTGCCTAACACACCGATGTACAATGCAGCTTAGTCTCAGAATAAACTCCTCTATATTAGAACCTTCAGCACTTATTCACACTGCAGGTTTTATTTGCCGGTTCTTAGTTTGAAAGGATCATGAAAAATTATTCAGAATTGCTAAATGACATCAGAATCAGAAGCGGTGAGGCCCATTCACACCACTTGTGTTCGGCTTAAACCAGATTCAATGCAAGGACCAGGCAAACTGCCTTGTTAATTTCCTGAGTTCACATTAACATGCTGCGCTGGTGTGCACTGGTCAAAAATGAAATATGCTGCATGTATGTAAGGGGTAGTTCACATGCATACACTATTTTTTCTGACTGCACCGGACCGGAACGCAGGCATTGATGTGCCACGCGTTCCGGTGTGGGCAATCGCACTGCGGCCGGGGGGCGTGGCTGCGCTGTCATTGACTTCAATGCACCACCATGCCCCCTCCCACCCCAAAACAAAGTGAGCCGGACCGGAATGCGATCCGTGCATTCCAGCACCGAATCGGGCCACACACTGAGGCTGGTGTGAACTAGCCCTAAAGGACAATACAGTACAATGTGCTGCAAGTCACATTATGGAATGGAAAAAGCAATGTGTGGTTTTGGCAAAAAAAAGCAAAAAAACTTGTTCTGACGCTAGTTGTAAATTATTAGTGATTTATTTCTTCCTGAGTCCTCTATCTGTGGCCTATATGTAGCAGATTCAACCACCACAGTCCACAGACAATGATCATCACATACAGGGCCATCCCTGTTATGAGGCAGTCTAAGGTGGTCGCTACAGGTGGCATCTCAGTGGGTTACGTGAGGAGGGGGTTACGTGAGGAGGCTGGTGTGCCTGCCGCCCCTTTTTCTGCCACAGCGTCCCAGGTTGGTAAGAGCTCTTAGCAACCTGTGACACTCTGGCCACCAGTGATGTCACTGGTTGCTGGGAGCTGAGCAGGACATTCAACCCCCCCTGGTAATGTGCACCACTAGTAACCCCCCATTATGTACACCATTGGCACACAGCCACCCTTCCCCTATAGCATGCATCCCAGCAAATAGTCTAGTGACACCCCTGATCAGATAGCTGAACTCCACAAATACTTTGCATCCACGATGAACTTTATGGCATGCAGAAGGGTTCAGGCATGAGCAAGGTGATGCAGTAGATGTTTGTATTTGTATTGGTCAAAAGGAACATATTCTACTTGTCTGATCACCTTTGCATGTCAGTTGCAGGAAGGGCAGCAGGGCTCATAAGGACGAAGGCGCAAATTGCATCATACTCTGTGTAATAAAACCAATGACCACGAGGTGGCAGCACAACACAAAACATTTAACTATGGCAATACACAGTGAATAAACATTAATGCAATTACATTGCCCATATAACTGCTGGACGCAGCTCACAACACTTACATGTAAAAAACAGAATGAACACTAACATACTAAAGTGAAAGAAGTCATTATGATAGATTAATATTTCAAAACTGGAGAAAATTTGCAGGATGAAAAAATAATGTGATTAGTGGCTATGAGCAATTTGTTTGCTGTCTTCAGCTGCTGTCTCTATTTTTGCTGTAGTTTTTTACATCAGCTTTTCCAATAAGCCATCACTAGGCCCCACAAAAACAACAAAGCCTCTGTAGGATGCTTTCTTGTTGGTGTTCTATTTGGTGATAAGTCATTACTATTCCTTCCAGCTGTGACACCATCTCTGCAGAAGCCTCTGTCTGGTAGACACATCATCAGTAGCTATGAGAGCCAAGGTAAGACCTGCTTGCTTTACTTGTTCACCTGGTTGAAATTGTAGGGCTGCTTTACAATGCCAGTGCCAATGAAACTACATCAGCATTGTACAAGATGCTTAAAAGAACCAGTTGGGTTTTGTGTTTCAAAAATGGCAAACAACTGACTTGCCCTCAAATGACTACCCACAATAATAGGGAAGAAGGTCAAGAGCAGCCTAGTTTTCTCATGACAGGTATACTTTAAGATTGGGATTTATTGCACTGTGGATATTATATCATAAGCCACATTCTACAGGAAATTGATATATTTAGATGCAAAGTAAAAAATTAGGTCTTGGTAATTAAAGTGGTAACTGCTACATCAAAAGCAGGATCCTTAACCACAGGTCCCTGGAGCACCAGTTTCAGCGGCCAAAGTGTTTCAGGACTTCTTATACCTTTTGTGATTTTAATGGAGCATAGTAAGCAGGGTACCAATAGAGGATGTACAGTATCTCATTTTGACTACAGATCCTCTTTAAACAGCCAGTTCTGCAGGCCTTAGTCGAGTTAAATGTGTGGGAGGGTTGGAAAGAAGCCAAAATTAGTAGGAGTAACAAATGCTCCAGTGCCAGTGGGACTAAAATATGCCCTGATGCTCAAGAGAAGGAGAAATGGTGCCCCACTGCTTGTGTTAGTGTAAGGAATAAGCCTGTATTGCTGTTGGTGTTGTTGTTGTTGTAAGTGCCCCATCATTGGGATCAGTGGGAGGAATGTTGTTCAAACATGTGTCAGGTCAGGTATTGTGTCAGGTATTGATGTCAATGATAAAAACAATAGTACTCCTTAGTAGACATGTGCGATTCGTTTCGTTACGAATCGAAATTCGTACGAATTTTCCTGAAATTCCGAATTTCGGAGCATCCGAAATCCTAATGGCAGTTTCCGAATTATATCCGAAATACGAATTTCTTTGAAACAGCAACTAATATTACCCCTGTAAATGAGGTTGAACAGCATGACAAGATTTTTTTTTAATCCGAGATACGGATCCGCTGCTGCTGATGCATTACAATACACAGTTACACACACAGGCAGGCAATACGAAATTCCGTTGAACCACTAACGAAAATTCATATTTCGTACGAATCCTTAATCCGAATTGAGTTCAGTTACGAATTACGAAATACGAAATAACGGATATTCCGAAACGAAACGAAACAGAACAATTTTTTTGACGGCGCACAAGTCTACTCCTTAGGCTATCCCTTAAGACTAATCTCTTCAGGGAAGCCTATCCCACCTCAACCAAACCACTCAACCATCACATTCTCAAACAGTTCATCCCGACACAGCTACCTCCTCATGTATCACTTTCCCCTCCCTTTTAGATTGTAAGCCCTCAGGGGGCAGGGTCCTCCTTACCATCTTGTCTTGAACTTGTATTGTGATTGTAATGTCTTCCTTATATTGTAAAGCACTGCGCAAACTGTTGGTGCTATATAAATCCTGTATAATAATACTCCATCATTGGGTTCAGTAAGAGGAGTAATAGTGCCACACTGTTGGGGTCAGTATGAGGAGGAATAGTGCTCCATCATTGGTGTTAGTGGGAGGTGTATTGCCCTATTCTTTGTGTCAATGGGATTAGTAAAGCCTTCCCAGGCATTGTTGTTAAATGGTCACTGACCATTGTATATGTTCCATGTCCTGTGTTGCTTTTCTGCTAGACACAAGATGTGATGACTGAAACTATGCAGGCACTGTCGGGCAAAAGATCACTCCGCTTGTCAATGGCAGTTGAGGTATAGTGCCAGGTGCAACATGGCATACAGGTGCAGGCCCTTCTCATTACAGGGGCTGGTAAATGGTAAGCAGTGGCCACTAATTTAAGTATATGGCCAGCTTAAATTTACTAAAGCAATCTATGCAATGCATATTGAACTGTTCATCGCCCTCAAATGTATCATTTTAATGATTTAAAATACTTATTCTCTTCAGGAAGTCATGTGCGTGTAGAAATTCATCCCAAAAACAGCAAGCCCCAACTATTCAACAGACCTCCAACCCCAAAAGGTAAGGAAACATGTGTCATTTTGTGAGAACATTTTAACTACAATGAAAAATAAAATACATATAATGGATTAGGCTTAAGATCATCTATTACATGAGATGCCTCTGTACATTTTCATAAGCAGCAAGCATTTATTAGTACTTCAAGTAGAAATGATGCCAGGCTATAAACATTCAAATATTTACAAATCATTAAAAAACAGTAGTTAAGCATTAAAACAAGCCCCACTGACCTCTGTAGCTGCAGAGAATGTGGAGCAATTCATCCTCAAGTTTCAAACAAATGTAGTAAAGTCCAGTCTCAGCACTCTGCTCTCCCCTCCCAGACAGCCTGCTCTGTGTTTACATTTAGATTAGAAGGGTACCAGATAACTGCTGGTGGGAGAAGTGTGACCAGAGTGGCTGAAATAAAACTGAAAGTGCTTTCTGCTGTAAACTATGAGGATAAATTACTTCACAGTCCTTGCAGTTACAAAGGTCAGTGGAGACGTTTTTTAAAGCTTATATTCATAAACATTTTAATACATGGTTTAACAAAAATGTATCTTATTTGTGTATCACTCAGCTGTAGATCCTCAAATCATCTCTGAATTGGAGCTGACACTGTCCTTCTTTCTGGATGGTGGCTACTTTTGTTCGCCATGGTTCCTGTCAGGGGAAGACCTACCACCAGTGCAGTTCCCTCCAGCGGCACCAGGGCCCAAGGCTGGGGGGCTCAGTGAGATCTGGTCTCAGCCACCCCCCCATTGGTCCTGGCCGTGTCCTTAGTAACAGGTGGTGGGAAAGTAAAGGGGAGAGCCAGGATGGCAGAGAGAGAAAGGAGAGCAGGTGAGACATGATCGGGCTGTCAGTGGAGAGCTCCCCTGGTGATCACTGTGCGGGCTCTTTAGTGTAGGAACGCACTGTCAGTATAGAGCAACCTGATGCAATCTCTGCCGCTCTCCACTGCCAGTTTATCTGATGCTGAGGCATGATGCAGGCACTGCTAGAGGAGCTCGGCAGTCGAGGGCTGCTCTTCGTGGTCTTTGTGTTAGTAACCCGCATACCGCTCATATTCTGCATGCAAGAAATGCATCCCAATTTGATCCATGTGCAGCAGATTTATCTCAGGTGTTATGTGAGGGCTATGGGTGGACATACAAACGCCAATTTTTCAGAAGATTCAACATTTTAACGAACAGGAGAAACAACCAAAAGCTGACAATAAAAAGGCTGCTTGTGAAGGTCAGAAATAGCAGATTTCTATGAATATCAACTTGCTGGAGAATCATTCCATGCAGAGGGTGGTGGGTGAGGCAGATCTGTCATCATTGCAAGCGATTGTGCGAGGAAGGTTGCATGTCTGTGAGTAGTGATCGGAATCAACAAAAAAAATCATAGAAATCGCGTAAAACAATTGCTTGATCATTCCAGTGATGTAAAAAGGAAGGGGGGGAATGGGCTTTGGGGGGCCTGGGAAAAAATCTTGCACCAGGGCCCTTTGTTCCTTGGGTCTGCTACTGGTCCCTGTGTGTGTTGTGAAGTAGCCAACACACCAAACTCACTCCTGTGATGGACTACAATCTCAATACAAATTAGTAAACTAAACGTGAGATTGTCGTCCGTCACGAGAGCGAGCTTGGATCGCTGGCTACTTTACAACATACACAGGGAGCATGGGGAACAAAAGTAGCCACCCTCCCAAAGGAAGGACAGTGTCAGCACCAATTCAGAGATGATTTGAGGATCTACAGCCGAGTGATACACAAATAAGATACATTTTTGTTAGTAGTTAAGGTACTCCTGAGTTTAGTGTCACTTGAAGCACATAAATTCAGGTCAGCATACTGGCTGGGAAAATGTCAGGACTGGATGGGTAGAAATATACATAATTTGGCAGGCAAATATATATGTATATATCTGGAGTAAAGATGTAATTTCATCTTTCATACGGTTTAGTAACATAAACTTGGTTTATATATTTAGTCTGTTTTCTTGATAGTTTCTCTGCATTACACTGTTGCATCTTTACCAGGAAGAACTTGTACATGTTTGAATATATATGAGCAGTAGATGGATCTTTACTGATAAACATTTTGAAAAGCAAGACGGTAGCCTTTCATTTTTGATCTCCACAAAGCTGTGGGAATCCATGTGCTATGCTTATAACTGTACTGTACATGACTGCATTGGGAAAGCTGCCAGGGAATGATAAACTCTTCCTAAATTAGAGCACAGAAGGACTGGAATGATAGTAAGTGATAGAACACATTGTATATATCTTGCAGATGTACCTGTTCCCACCAGGAATGGCAGCACTTGGGAGCAGATGCCACAGCCCAGTGCTAAAGACTTTCATGGTAAGGAACCTTTGCAATATAAGTATTTACAAATAACTTAATCCATCATAAATTAGCCACAAACCTGACTATTTACATAGTTACATAGTTAGTCAGGTTGAAAAAAGACACAAGTCCATCAAACTCAACCTATAGAGATACAGAGAAAAAAAAAGAAGAAAAGCCTAAACAGAACGCTATGCCCACAGCTACCCCATGTGATCCAGAGGAAGCAAAAAAAAAACTCCTACAAAGCATGGTTCAATTTGCTCCAACAGGGGAAAAAATTCCTTCCTAATCCCATAAGGCAATCGGATATTCCCTGGATCAACAATCTCTGGTGCTTAATATACCTCTAAGAACTCAATATCCAGTAATATTCTGTGCATTTAGGAATACATCCAGATGTTTTTTAAAACAGTTAACCTGGGGGAGTTCCACATTTTCACAGCTCTAGGAAGAATCCTTTCCATATGCAAAGGTTAAACCTCTTTTCCTGCAGACCCAAAGAGTGCCCCCTTGTCCTTTGCAGTGACCTTAACTTGAATAATTTGGCACCAAGCTCTTTATATGGACCATTTAGGTATTTATACATGGTGATCATGTCCCCCCTTAATCGCCTCTTCTGTGTAATACTTTTTAATCTGAAGCAAATCTGAAGCACCATCTTCAGCGTAGTGAAGATTTTCCAATGTATATTAGTATGGAAACAAGTCTCCAAAAAGCTTCCAGTAGATCAATGGATTCTTCAATAAAAATGGCTCTTTTAGAGTAATGCAAAGGAAAAAAAAATGGCGGACTGCATCATGCTGAAACAAAGAGCAATTTTTATTGATGAATTTATTGGTGACTTGCTGGAGACATGGACTTTACCAATGGTGCCATCTGTTATGCTGAGATCTGGTGTTCAGTCGGGACTCTATAATTGGAGTGGAAATAAACACAAGGTTCAGTCAGCAAAAGCCAACTCTGGACTAACCGCCCGTCTGTCATTTGCCAGATGGGCTAGTGAAATGGGCCGTCAGTCACCATCCTACGTATTCTAAGTACCAGCTTTCTATCCACTCGCTTTCTTCTTTTTTTTCAGTAGACCAGTAGTACATTTAAGCGTCTGTTAGGCACCAGGTCAAACACTTCAGCAAAATCCAAATATACCACATCCACAGTGAACTCTGTCCAACTTTCTACTCACTTTTTCATAAAGGGAGAGTATATTTGTTTGACATCTGTCTTTCATAAATCCATTCTGGCTGTCAACTGGTGATACTATTTTCTATCATATATTTTTGAATGTGGTTTGTTAAAAATCCCTGGTTCTTATAATAGAAGGCTTACTGGTCTATAATTACCAGGTTAAGGGCGTTAATCTCTTTTAAAATATAAAGACGCCACATTTGCTTTAGTCTTTTGGTATGTTGCCAGAAGCTAAAGAGACTAAAAGCACGAAGCAAGAGCTGGAAAATACCTGAGCTAAGCTCTTTGAGGGCTTGTGGGTGTAAGCCTTGAGAACAAGATGTCTTGTTACATGCCAATGCTAACCGAAGGAAGTACACATTTAGAGATGGCTTTTGATGCTGATGATGTAGCTGCAAATACAGAGTAGCTCATCTGTTAAGGAGAGGATAGTTTCTCAAATTTACCATTTTGGATGTAAGTGTACCAAGTGTTACAAGAGGTTTAGGGGGTACATATGCTTGTCAAATGAACCTGTAAATGATAGTTCCACATATTAGAAAAGACTAATCTTACAAAATATTGCTTGCAGATAGAGGGGGTAAAGCTATTAAATGTGGACACTGTTCCTGTATGAGCCATCATGCATTAGGGAGTACTTTTTAAATGTTTTTGCAGTAACAGGGTATGTAGTATATGGTGCTAAGAAACACTGCAGTAGAGGACCTAAAGGTAACCTGTAATCAGAGATATATGCTGCCATTGCTCACCTCTCTTTAAAATGCAAGTTGCCCATCTGTTAGGATTCTCCCCTGGCTTCAATACTTTCTGTGTAATTTACCTTGAACAAGAATGCAGATCAGTATTTCTGACTTAGCTTTGCTTTCACTTCTTGCACACTTATTCTGGGTTATTAAATCACTGGGTAGTCAAGCCAACAACACCATAAAGCCTCTACCCTAATAAACAAGTCATCAATGGCAGCTCCCATATTTCTCTCCTCACATGTTTCCATTGAAGCAGCGCCAACAAAATAAAGGTGGTGCTGCAAGGTATATGCACCGATAGGTCTATATTATGTATGATTCTGTGCATGAAGTCTCCATTAAAGGACACTGAGGATCAAATAATATAACCGAATACATTTTATCCGTCATATAAAAATAAATATAAGCTATGACTACAAAAATTGCCTTATAGATTTAAAGAGAACCTGTGGAAGCTGTACCCAAAAAAGCAAGCAGAGAGCAAATGACTAGTCACCAGTGTTGCCTGTGGTCTGCCTTTTACCCTGTAACTTACCATATCTTGATCTGCACTGTGTCTCTGTGTGCAGGCTGTCATCTTGATAGCGGAGCAGTACTTTGGTTCCTCTTGTCAGAGCGGCCCCCTTTTGATTACTGGTGATCTGAAAACTGGTAGGTTAATAGGCAAGATGCAGCAGGAGAGATAGGGGAAGCTCAGAGCCACAAAAAGAATAAAGCAAGATCAGGGAGATCCTTACATTGCAGGTCCTCAGGTACAGCTTCCTCTCCAGCAAGCTGCACCATAGTGACATCACCTAATCTCACTTCAAAGTGACAGGCACCATTTTCATGGTACATTTTTAGAGGTTCCCAATAACATAGAACATCTTCTCATTTACAGTTCAGTTCCTCTCCAGCCACAATGTTTTCAGCTTCAGATAGAGTGGGAAAAAGTTAAAGTTTCTGTCAAATTTTAAATGCTGTCTGTGCTTCCAAAAAAGGTGGTTTCTTGTTCTGTATGACATCCATCAGCTGGACAGGAAGTTATTGGAAATCTTCCTCACTCTTTTGGGAATGTGATTATGGGCTTGTAGTATTGAATGTATCAATGGCATTCTTAGCTCTGGTCTCTGTCAACTGGTTGGTTATTATGTCATTTGTATTCCTTGAAGGGAATCTCCACTTTTAGTAAGAGAAAAACTGATATCACATACATTATTGAAGTTCGAGCATTTGTTCAATGTAATATTATTACCATTTATCTTTACAGCTAGAATTTCTTAAAAAAACTAAAAAACAAATTTCACTTTTTCTTTTCCTCAAAACTGGAGCTTCACTTGACTGAGTGCAAGCCCAAGGTACCCTTCATTCCCCACCTACAATATCGACACTTCACAAGCAATCAAAATGAACCAGTTAAAGAATCTAAGTAGTACTAAAGTATACAATAGCTAAAGTAATATGGCAACCAGCTTGGGAATGTTGGGATTGATTGGTTGTTAACGTTGGAATATTCTGGTTCAAGTGTTGAGATCGCCGTATGTGGTCTCACGTGCTGTGAACTGTATACTTTTGCACAAACGGTCAGAACCCTCTGTTTTAGGGATGACCAAAAACAGAATAAAATTTGTTTAAAAAAAAAAAAAATGAACCAGTTTATATCATATTGTAAGTGAATGGACACAGCAATGTACACTTATAATAACAATAATAGAACATTAAAAGAAAAATCCTGTACATTAACCTAAACCATACCTTATAACCCTTATCATAAAGTGCAACAAAAATAAAACTTGCTGCCATCTAAGGGCCCCGACAAGTGCCAAGCACCACCCCGTAAGAGGGGTGTATCATGACTCCATAACAATGTACCAACCACCAGCTGTTCATTAAGAAAACTGAGTGGGTACACCCATACATTCTCTTCCTGGCTACTGAAGCTATTCAGCCCCAGTAGCTCCACCATCTCCACCTCAATATATTCCGTCCCTTTTCCTTCACTGGGGAGCCAGACCTTGATCATAGAAGTGATGGCACCGTCAGGGACCCTCCCCTCTGGTAGAAGACATCTAGACAGAAAATTACGTTAGCCAATGGAAATGTACAGTTCTACTCCCCAGTTGAGCTGGTAGTTGCCCCAATTCTTACCAAAAACCATGTATCCCTCCCGCTGGTGCTATACCCATGGCAACTCACTAGTAGAATGGCAACCAAACCATCATATCTAATGGGAGGGTGTGTTGTACTTAATTCACTTGCTTTTCCACTACAAAATGGCTCTCTGCCTAAACCAGCTTAAGAAGACTACCCCCAATCTCCTCCTACCAAAGGTAGCCCACCTACTGTACACTATCCAGCCTTATCCCCCCCCCCCCCCCCCCCCCCACACTTCACCT